AATTAATTTTCAGTTGGATGAGATTATTAAGTAAAAAATGTAGAATAAAATTTTATTGTTTAAGTCTTTGTTTTTTGAGAAAATCAAAAAGTTGTAAAATCGACGATTTCTAAAACGATTTGCGTTTTCGAAAATTTTTAAACGGAATAAAATTAATTCTATACTTTTTTGTTTATTTTCACACGTAGATTAACTTTTTATCTATATAATTCATTCTATATGCAATTGGAAATTAATTCAATTTCAGTTGTAATCGAAAAATTTTCAATCTCGATTTTTTCAAAAATTGAAGGCGAAAAAAAATTGTTTTATTTTTTTTTTTTTTAATTTTTTCATAAAGAATCATCCTATGTCCATTCGTGCATGTTATTTAGTCGGATATCTGTATACATTCCTCATTTGTTAATTGAATTTTAACACGTAATTAAAATAAAGATCGCGCAATATTTTCGTTCTATCGCTCGAGATTAATTTCGATTTAAGTAAATATGTACCTACTTGACCAAATAAATTTATAATAAGTTTAATGAGAATTAATCTCCTCGCGTTTCAAAGAGATTAAGCATTTAATAATATTGAAATAAAATGAATTTCAACCGACACAAGAGACACGAATAAACGAGAGAGATGTAGAAAATGTACGTCCTCCTTTTTAATTATGATTCTTATTTTCATACATTTATGTGCAAAAGTATTCGTATTCGTGTTTTCGAAAAATCACGTTTATTTCGATTTTTAAAAATTTTCATGCACACAATGCGGAATAATTTATTTTTTTCGAAAGAAAATCTCATTACGTACGTATGAAATCGATCTTCAAAATTTTTACCATTTTTATTTTTTTCCTCTTCGTCCCTTTTGTACACAATTTCCATTGAAAATATTTTTTACAATAGGATAATAAATATTAATCTCGAGTATTTTATACATTAATATCTCTACATTAATCTCTAAATATATTTCCATTATATTAAAAAAAAAAACAGAATTAAAATAATACCGAAACTTTAAAGTTTCATTTTATCCATTTCGAAGCGACATTTCATTAATAAAAAAAAAAAAAAAA